GTATTTTAAGAACTACAACTAATTTTTTTAGGCAATTAAAATTCACTTATCCGTACAATTCATTAAATTGTATGATAAAAATTATTGATGATAATGATCAATAATTATTTAACTTTTTAAAAGATAATATGTAATTGTGATTATTTTAAGTATGTAATTTATCAAAACTTAGAGTATACGGACTTTATAATCATTATCATTCAGTTTTATTAAAAAAAAAGCTTTGCATAAATTTAGTCATAAATAAAATACATTATAAATCTTCAAAATTAAAACAATTAAATATATAATTAAATATAGTAATATTAGTTGAGTACGAAAGTTGTTTTATGCTTCTATTTCATTCAATAATAGGATTAGTGGGCTATAAAGCAGTTAATCATGTTTAGAAGTTACTATTATTTTTTATTATTATTATTTCTTATTTAATTAATTAAATTAAATACGGAAGTTGTTACATGATTCTTGGGATTAGTGGGTTATAAAGCAGTTAATTATTTTTAAAAGTTATTATTTTTTATTTATTATTTCTTATTTAATTAATTTAATTAATAAATTATTTGTTACTAAAGATGAGGATATAACCATAAAATAGTTTTTAAAGTAATTTTAATTAAAATGTGAGGTGGTAGAAGTTTTTTAACCGTCTATGTAGTTGATTTTTGTAAAGGGTGTTAATGGAATAATAGTGTGAATTATTGGACAAAATTGGAAAATAAAAAGCTACACCAAAACTAACTATTACCTTTAAATATTACTAGCGTTCAGACGGGCACTCCCGTGCCCGTCTGTCCGCTTTTTTTACTGCGCTAACGCGTGAAAATATTAACAACGTCTTTTTTATAAGTTTGATTTTAATATCAAATATTTATATGATGAAATACATTGTATTTATTTAGATGCATATTAAGTTTTATTTGCAATATGTAATATTTGTGTGTTAAATTTTGTTTGAATCGAGAAAATCGCATTATGAGATGACTATATTTAACCTGTTTTTTTCAAGCAAATCAATAATGTGAAAGGAATAATTTGATGGTTATGAATACCGTATCAAAGAAAAAGAAAATAGATTACACCAAAATTAAGTTTTGTATTTATGTATTGTTATAGATTGTACAAAATCATACGAAGATTTAAATAAAATAAGAAGGAAAAAAATGTTTTTCACATTTATTAAACTAATAACATAAACATTAACAGAGGCAATAAGTGACATTGTTGCTTAATAGGAAGGTCAACCATGAAATCGAAATAAAAAATATCTCTTGTTTTACTGCAAAACAAATGAAGTAAATTTTAGTAGTAAATAATATAATGTAATATAGTGAGTGCACGCCAAGTGTGACTTTGCAAAAGTATAGTTTATTTTAAAATAATATAGTGTAATATGTCATCCTCTTTATTATCCCTAAAAAAATCATTATGTGGCACAACATGCATAATAGAGCGGTTTTTAAAGTTTGCATTGTTTAGTGCATACCAATTAAATTCTAATAATAATAATACCTTCATCAATAAATTAATTCAAAAACAGTTGAATAACAATCCCTATGTCAATGGTGAAAAATCATCTTGGAAAAGAAAATAATTTGAAATCTAACAACAATATTTTCTACGCATGACTTCTAAATAAGACAAAACCTTGTGGATAATACACCAAAATAATTATAAATGTAACTTAACAAAACCAGTCATCAATTAAAATACATACATATGTGTAAATTCATTTTTAACAAACTATAATGAAAAAAATTAATTAATCTATTTTCTATGTATGATCACCAACAAACACTCTTCAAAATTCTTTAAAAATTGCAAGAAAAAAATCACCATACAAAGAAGAGTTATATGTGTTAAGTTTTCCATAAGTTTTTTTTTAATGGAAGTTAATGATGGTTAAAGAAAAAAAATAACCAACGACTCATATTCAGGTTATTTATAATTATAAAAATTAGATTTAACTTAACTAAAATCATCATAAATTTAATATAATGCATATATAGTGTAATTTTGTCCATAAACCATACAATAGAAAAAACATATTGTAGTATTTAGTCATTATCATTGCATAATCACCAACTAATACTTGAAAATAAACATTTTTGAAAATACAAATACAAATTACATAGATTAGACGGTGATCATTGTATAATCACCGACTATTATTTAGATATAAACTTTTTTAAAATGCAGAAACAGAAATACAAATTACACAACTTAGACGATAAAAATATAACATAATAATAAATAAATAAAAGTATCTTCTTCAACCTCTGAAACCATATAAAGTTCTTCCTTGTCTCTTAAGAGTATACACAACATCCATGGCAGTCACAACCTTTCTTCTTGCATGATTAGTATATGAAGCAGTATCATGAATAATTTTTGTCAAGAAAACCTTAAGAAATAACATAGTTTCTTCATAGATCAAACCACTTATCCTCTTGACACCTCCTCTCCTAACCAATCTACGAATTGGTGGCTTTGTAATTCCCCAAATATTGTCGCGCATAATCATCATGTGCCTCTTTGTTCTTCCCTTTCCGAGCCCCCTAATACCCTTTCCACAACTTGTCATTTTTGTAAGAAATTTTGAGAAACTTTTTATTTTTTTGCATTTTGAATGTGAAAAAGTAGAAGATGAAAGGGATATTTATATATCATTCTGAGCGGGAAATGAGGAAACTGCTTATCCTCTATCGTTGGATTTAAAGTAATAGACGGTTTAGATTTGACTGAGATTTTTCAATATTTTAAAATTATTTTATAATTTATTTTAAAAAATTGTTTTTAAAATAAAATAAAATATTGGTTAATCATATTTTTAAAAATTGCGTTTTAAGAACTCCAATGAATTTTTTTAGGCAATTATAATTCACTTTTTTAATTATATAATTTATCAAAACTTAGAGTATACGGACTTTATAATCATTATCATTCAGTTTTATTAAGAAAATATTTTGGATAAATTTAGTCATAAATAAAATACATTATAAATCTTCAAAATTAAATCAATTAAATATATAATTAAATATAATAATATTAGTTGAATATGGAAGTTGTTATATGCTTCTATTTCATCATTCAATAATGAGATTAGTGGGTTATAAAGCAGTTAATCATTTTTAGAAGTTACTACTGCTTTTTTATTATTATTTCTTATTTAATTAATTTAATTAAGTACGGAAGTTGTTATATGTTTCTATTTCATTCAGTAGTGGGATTAATGAGTTATAAAACAGTTAATTATTTTTAGAAGTTACTACTATTTTTTTATTATCATTTCTTATTTAATTAATAAATTATTTGTTACTAAAGATGAGGAATAATAACTTACTAATCTATCAGTAAAAAAATAGTGTAAAAGAATCAATTTATTAAAAATAAAATTGGAAGTAAAAAAACTACACCAAAATTATTTAACGTTAATAGGTCCGAACAGATCATCAAAATTATATAATAAATTTGAAACAATCACATTTACAAATAATTATAGAAGTTTAATCATATTAAAGATTATTATATTAAATACCTAATATACTTATATAAGATATAACACATCTAATAGAGTATCATATAAATTACTAATCTTCCTTAAAGTATACTATAATAATCTATTATGACATAATTATGATATTGTACTTGTATAACCTATCGTGAATTACTATTTTAAAATTACTATTAATAAATGAATTCTTATATGTCTTGCTACACGGATAATTTTGTGTCCAAAATTATTTTATATAAGTTGCTAATTAGGATTATTGGAACACGGATAATAATTATATGTGAGGGAACTTTAATTATATTTATTATTCAAGCGGACTATTTTATTTCTTTAATACTTGTATTTCAATATATGAACTAATTATAATAGGGATTCACCCGACAATAATTAAAATATAAAACAAAATAACTATATTACTGCGTAGATATCTAAATTGTACAAATATATTATAGAAGTTATAATAATAATAATAATTTGACATGAAAAATTGACACTTATAGTCATATTTTTAATATATCATGATAACTGCTCAACATTTTAAATCCACTTTTTACTTATAACTTATATTTTTAAAATTAAAATAAATATAAAATATTAGAGGATAAATAATAATTTTAAAAAATTTGCAGTTAACAAAATAGTTAAAAAAACCAACACTCAAAGTTATATATTTTAGATGGTTTCCTTTTTGAAAAAATTGCATATATTTATTTTTATTTTATTTTTAAAATTATATAAATTATATTTATTTTAAAGGTTAAAATGGGAATAAAAAAATATAAGAGCAAAATTCCCTATTTCTTTTATAGATAGTTATAGATTATGATTATTTTAATTAAAATTATGGATATTTGAATTTGTGGTATGTGTATTTAAATATAGTTTTTAATGAGAAATTAAAAAAAAGAATTCTTCAAATAACTAATTAATTTCACTTGTGTATAATATTCAAATATAAAATGGGGGGAGTAGTTAATTTTTATTTGTATAACTTCTACAACTTCTAAATAATTTTAAAGGGTAAAATAAGAACAAAAATAGGTCATACCAAAAAGTTATATCCTCTTTATATATATAGTTATAGATATATTGTTACTTTTTCTTTCTCGTGTTCTTCTAAAGTTTACATATAACATAAGTTTTTCACATTAAAATATGCTATACTACGCAATTAAAGCCTTGTGAACATAATAGTAATAGTAATGTCTTCAAGTACTACACAAGAAGCCAAAAACAAAATAAGTGTGCAATATGCCATGTTGGACCAATCACAGCCCATCTAACCTTATCCCACATCACAAATGCAATCAAATGTTACCAATCATCCATTCAAATCCAATATCCAAAACCAACCACATGTTCATTGCCACATCAGATACACCATATCTAAATCCAATTCAAACTTCACAAACACTAAAAGCCTTTACTCTTGGAGTGTCAAATTCACAAGGAAAAAAAAAAAACTATAGCAGCATACACTCTAAGAAAAATGGCGTCTACACAATGTTTCTTGCACCACCAATATGCTATTACAACTCCAACTAGAACCTTATCTCAACGCCAAGTAGTTACCACCAAACCAAACCATATTGTCTGCAAGGCACAGAAACAAGATGATGTTGTTGATGCTGTTGTTTCTCGTAGGTTAGCACTTTCTGTTCTCATTGGTGCTGCTGCTGTTGGCTCCAAGGTTTCACCTGCTGATGCTGCTTATGGAGAAGCTGGTATCTTTTGAAATACTTTTTTTAGAATACACTTTTTATAACAAGAGTCATCTGATCTTTTGTGAAACGGTGAAGATCCGTGACTAGTGACTATGACTAGTTACATAGTCAGTGGATTTTCACCGGATAAAGATCAAAGACTCATGTAGTCTTACTATATTTACTTCAAATACAATTTAGAATTATATGTGACTGCATAAAATCCAAATTGAATCAACTATATCTTGACATGATGATCATAACTCATGAATGTGATGTGGGTTTAAAGTGAAATATTCTCTTTCATTGTTGAGAAAATGCATTGTTTGATTGGTTATTTTGGTTTTAGCTAATGTGTTTGGAAAGGCAAAGACAAACACAGACTACTTGCCATACAATGGAGATGGATTCAAACTGTTGGTGCCAGCAAAGTGGAATCCAAGCAAAGAAAGAGAGTTCCCTGGTCAGGTTCTTAGATATGAGGATAACTTTGATGCAACAAGCAATGTTTCGGTTTTAGTCCAAACAACTGATAAGAAGTCCATCACTGACTATGGTTCGCCTGAAGAGTTCCTATCTAAGGTTTAAAAAAATCTCAAACTTTTGCTTCTTTTCTTTGTATACTAAAATTTTGATAAAATCAATCATAGATTTTGTTATGTTATTACATTATCTTACAACTCTGCCTGAAGGAGCCTGAGTTTTGAAACTGTGAATTTGAAACTGCGTCCCTATAATCAGATGTCTATGCACAATTATCAACTGAGTTGGTTTAATGAGACTTATGGACATGTGTTTTAGTATGTATTATTTGCCTCAACATACACTATAAGTCGAGACAACTGATACATTAAATCATGCCTGTATTTTCAACATAACTTCACATTTCTAAATTCGTCATTTATTGGCTGCAAATAAGATTGACACTAGTAGGAGTATCTATGGATTTCATCTGGCAAAGAAAAGTATTTTTTTGATGATTTTTCCCGTGAATGGCAGAATTCGTTGTTGTATAAGGAAGAAATGTGAACAATATAAACCAATAAATGTGCATTGGTTTTGAGTGAAACTTCCAATATTCAAATGAACAACGCCTTTGAGTTTTAAAGGCAAAAACAGCATTTCTTTTTTGAAATTGAAGATTTTGTTTTCCTCTTTGCAGGTGGACTATTTGCTTGGGAAACAAGCCTTCTTTGGACAAACTGATTCAGAGGTAATTTGTTTATAATTTATAACTACCATGCATTATGACATACGCATACTTTAGACATGACACTGACACGTAAACATTGGTCATAATTAAAGAAAATTGAAGTGATTGAATGTAAACCACATATACCAGTGTCATGTTGATGTCACACCCTGACACGTATCAGACACCAGACATGCCTTTGGTTTCAAGTGTCGGTTGTAACTTTTGCATCTGCAGTTCATCCAACTATTTCTTAACTTGAATTTTCTCAGGGAGGTTTTGACACAAACGCCGTAGCTGTTGCAAACATCTTAGAGAGCTCAGCACCAGTGATTGGAGGAAAACAGTATTACAACATTTCGGTATTGACAAGGACTGCTGATGGAGATGAAGGTGGAAAGCATCAGCTGATTACAGCAACTGTAAATGATGGAAAGCTATACATCTGCAAGGCTCAAGCTGGTGACAAGAGGTGGTTTAAGGGAGCAAGAAAGTTTGTGGAGGACACTGCAAGTTCTTTCAGTGTTGCATGATTAAGAACTTTGGTGCAAGGCTGTTATTTTGCATGTAAATCTTATTCTTAAGTAAGCAAGCACTTGGAGTTTTAATTTATAATGGCTTTTTTAACCTGCTTTTTAATTAAAAATTTCAAGTTGTTACAAGCCGTTTAAGAAGCACTATAATATGAAAAATCATTTGTTGGAAGAAATCAACCTTTTAGGAAGTGTGTTGGAAAGAATGTATTTTGTTCTTTATACATGAAATAGTGTGTTAGTAGTGTTTTTATTTTATTAAGGAGGCATAAAGGAAATCTTAACTCAAGGAACAAGCGGTAAGGTTAATTAATATATGCTAAGAATATGCCAGTACGAGGGATATCTATGGAGTCTGTCAAAAAAGTGGCAACTAAAGTATATATATATGCACATCATGCATTAAAGAAAAAGAATAGAAAAATAAAAAAGGGAGAATTAAATTTTTATTTAGATAAAGGAAAGGAGTTTGTTATAGTGAATTTCTCTAACAAACAATAGTTAGAATAACAAACTCAAATAGTCCTAACTAGTTAAATAGAATGAAATATTTAAACGGTAACATCAATGGTTTAAATTCAGTTTCACAGAACTGATTTTGGTTAAAACTTGACTTGAATATAAATTGATTTATGATTAGATAAATTGTTGTAAAAATGATTCTCATATTATTTGTTGTTTGGATAGTTTGAACCAAAAATATTTTTAGATGTATAATTACCAAATTGAATTCTAATATGTCTATTTTTATAAAACATAATATATAGCTATTAAATTATTAATAATCAAATATAAAAATTAAATTAACATAATAATTAAATATAAGAAAATTGCTTTTATTTGACACAGAAGCTAGGGCTTGTAGTTTTGAAGAAATGTGAGTTTGGAGCTAGATGCACGATAGTTGTTAGTTCGACATATTCTAAGGGGTGAGTAACTGTGTCCTTAAAGACTTGTAGGTCGGATCTCTCGTACTAATAACTTTTTCCTTTTCATTTCGAACTTCTTGAAAAGTTTTACATATATGATGTCACAAGAGCTCTCCTTGTGCATGACGATTCAGGATACATCAAATTTGGTCATAGCCGTCATTATTACCAAGAGAAATATTTTCTTCGTGATTCTGCCCACCTTTTCTCTATTGCGAAATCTGAAGATAGGTCTCTCTAGCTTTCTTTCATAAGTTGCATCTCCTCTATTTACTAAAATTAGCTCCATGATTCTTCTTTTAATGACGCCTTTAGACAGGTTCATTGGCCCAGAAAGACCTCCAATAATGGATGTGATGTACTGATGTTTCTCCTTTTTGTTTTCTTATTCTTCTTATTCGTTGCTACTATCTTTATTTCTTTTGGCCCTACTTACTGCCACTATAGTTTATGAGGATATCCTTTTTCATGGTGAGGGTATCGTTTCTTTCTATCTTTCTTTCCCGATAATCTTTTTGACCATCTTTCTAGGTGTATCGCGTGAGCCTCTCATTCTTGATCATATCTTCAATTGCATCCTTCAAATGGACACATTCATCAGTGTTGTGAAAATGAATCTTATGGAAATGGAAAAATCTCATTTTATCGGTCTTGGTGAACTCCTTTACCAAATATGGGTTTCTTATTCCGACTTCCTTGAAGTTGGTATTTGCACATTTTTGTAAAATTTTCTCCCTTGAAGTGTTCAAGGGAGTATAAGTTGAGAACTTGGCTTGACGGTGGTTGTTGTCTCTCTCTGGTCTCTAGTCCTTTCTTTGATTTCCTGCTCCCAGACTTTTATAAAGATCTTTAGTCAAGAGTTCTTCTTCATAATTAATGTAAGATTGAGCCCTAATTAAGAGTCTGTTTAAGCTACAAGCTCCTTCTGGCTCTAAATTATCATTGAACGTTCAATCCAGTCTAAATCCCTTTTTGAATATCCAACACATTAATTTGTCTTTTGTTCCTCCTATTTATATTTCTACTTTAGTAAATTGATTGATGTAATCTTGCAAAGTCTCCTTCTTTTACTGAATTCCACCGAGTATGACTATTGTGGCAGGCTGTCACTTTTGAGTAGTGCATTAAGCGATAAAAGAGTTAGAAAGTTTCTTTAGAGAGTTTAAAATCTCGTCAGGGAGGGCCTTGAACCATGTAGAGACTACTCCTTTAAGGCTTAAGACAAAATATTTGCATTTCATAACCTCCCTCAAGAGTGGTAGTAGTCGAGTCTGGTGATACATGCTTGATATTCTCATTTGGATCTCTTGAGCAATCATAGTTGTCCAACTTAGGAGGTTTCTTGAGAGATTTCAAGGTACTACTATGACTCGACTACTACCTTTCGTTTCTTTGGGAGTAGAGGGACAAGTGGTAGTAGTCGAGTGATGGGAACAACGAATCTTTGGTGGGATGTGATGTTCTATACTTCTGGTGCGATCCAAGGATCTAGGGAGCATGGTGTTAGTAAATATTGGTTTTTGGCTTAAATCCTTGATTGATGTGCAAGGCAGCCTTGCGTATGAAGTGGTCCTTAAGAGGATCATATTGTAAATTTTTTTCAATTCAAAGTACCTTTTCAACCAAAAAGTGTGATTTATTGATGATTATTCATCTATCGAGATTGTTCGTTCAAAAGAAACTATTGTGGTTGATTATGCTTCTTCTTTGAACGATTCCCTTAATGAAGATTCTTCTAATGAATTTGAGTTTATACCTTCATCCTTCAAAAGTTAGATCAATTAGTTGAGTCTCTTGATAATCCTCTCCTTTTCTTCCTGAAACTCAACAAACACACTTCTATCTTTTGAGTTGAGGAATGAATTTGATTTCTGATTTCAGTTCTTAATCCTTAGGTAGTTGTTAAAAGAAAATTTTCTAATATATCCTCAAAGAGTTCCAATGGTTCAGTACCATCCATGAGAACGACTCTCATTTTTATTTGTCATTTCAACTTTCTAGATTCTTATGTTCGTTCTCTATTACTTGATACTTGAAGAAACTCCATAAATCATCTTAAGAATGTCCCAGAATTCCTTGGTGGAATCAAAAGTAAAGACATAATAAAACTCTTTGGAACTTAAAGCTTTTATCAAATGATATTTTACTTTAAAACCAAGTTTCACTTTTCTCTTATCTTCTTCGGTCCAATGAAAATTAGATTTAGTTACTACTTTATCATTAAATGATAAAGTAGAAATAAACGAACCATTAATTAAAATATTCCATATTTCAAAACAAATTACTTTTATAAAAATTTTAAATCTAGATTTCCATAGTTCAAATATGAAATTCTAGTAACAGACAGTCAATGTTATACTAGATGTTATGACATCCACTACTGAATAGACAATTAAGCTAAGCAGTAAAACACTTAAAGAAAGCAGTAAATAACACAGGGAACTATTGACCCAGTTCGGTGCAAATCACACCTACTCTGGGGGCTACCAAGCCAGGGAGGAAATCCACTATAAGCAGTGTTAATTCAGAGCCATACTACCAGTTTTCACTCTTCACTTAAGACCTACCCAATGCAACTTCAGCCTAACACTAGACCTGAGTTCCTACTCACTCCCCCTCAATCACAGCAGTGATATCAACCACTTAAGTTACAGATTAAAATGAAGACACACTTCAAACAAATCTTGATCTTGCTTCACAGCTTCAATCAAGAGACACAACACTCATGCTTAAAAGCTTAGAGTGACACAAACAAAGTACAACTCAAAACACACTAGTCCAAAGCAATCATCCACGTGATAATTGCTTGGCTCACAAGTAATCCTAAGACACAAAACACACGTGAAGAACAAACATAACTCTTCACTCATAAACTCTCTAAAATCTCTAAGCCAGTCCATCTTCAATCAGGATTGTCACTCGTCTATTTATATGCAGCACACGGATCTTGGGCCCGAGTGGCAAAGGTTAGGTTTAACCAAGTTAAACCCCTTTTCCATAAATCAGGGTTCTTTTAATTAGGTCATAGGCATTTCATGTTATGCTCAGCACTGCCTAGCATTTCGCCTGAGATAACTAGGATCCCTAAAATGTTTCCTGAAATCTAGCCTGAGCTCACTCATGCATTATACCAGAAAAATAAACACGCGCCCTTGATGTCATCAACCTGATGTCATAACATTCAGTATGACATCCAATACACTTTGTTCTAGCTAACTAAACTTACCCTGCAGAACACTACACAAGCATGTCATGACATCAATCATGACATCTACACACACAACCATGTTTTACCATAAAATGCAGCCAATCAAGAACATCTACAAACTCCCCCTTTGGCAAATTTTTGGCTAAAATAATCTGTCACCATATCAGAGATCATATGCAACAGAAAAGTTCACAACACACTTCTAATCATGCAGAATAACTAATCCTACCAATCAACTAGACCTTCTTGTACTACCATCACACACACAATCATACAGACTGTCAAGACATCTAGGATGACATCCTGAAAAGCACCTGTTCCACAGCACACAATACCACCTGTTAGTTCAGACTACAGATGTCACAACATCCCATGATACTCCCTCTTAACTGATGCATAGTCACAACATCCTGTGATAATCCCCCTTAACGGATGCACAACTACACACCATCTGCAAGCAACCTACAGAAACACACACTTCCACCAACAACTAGGATACTACTAAGTTCCAACCAGGAACATACACACACATATAACAACAATAGCCAAACACACACATGATCATCATCCTGCTCACAACAGCATATCAATAACTTCAGCACACCTGTAACACAACTCAGAGCAGCATTATAACATCAGCACACCTGCAAACCTGCTCAGTGCAAACATGCACAACAGCAAATCTCATCTTCCACCTGTGAGGGACATCAACTAAACACAACTAAGCCTGCTGTTTCTACTACTACTTCTCCCCCTTTTTAGCCACAAAATTAGATCATAACTAATGAATTAGCATTGATCATACACAGTTGGAAACACAAAAAGGTTAAAGGAACATTACAACAAAGCAACACATAAAAGTT